TGGATTAAACCCACTCCATTTTGTAAAAAAACGTCGATTGTTTTGTGTGTGTCGAAAAATATGGGAAAAAAATATAAGGTTACTAAAATGATTAAATATGTCGTTTTGTTAGTTAGTTTTTTTTCTTCCGAAAATATGCCGTTTATTAGTGGAAAAAAAAAGTAACATATTATTTAAAAAACAAAATTACTAATATCCAAAACGCAAAGGAACAAGAGTGTCGTGAACAACTTGTCTAGTGACTCCGAATTTGGTCGATGTTTTTGTTTATGCCTCAATGTCTTTTATATTGTTGTAAGTAATAGATTTTGACCCACGCCAAATGTTGGATTAAACGATTAAATATATTTATAATATATTTTAATATGTAAATGTGTCTGACAAATTATATGATTTCTAATTTTTATAAACTTACAAAATGATATGTATTGTGTATAAGTATAATCAAATTTAATTTTGATCTAACATATTTTGATGCCATCAGTTTTAATATTTTATGTGCAATTGATCAGAACATATGAAAATGTTATTTATTTCGATATATTTTAAGTGTAAAATTAATTTTTATTATTCATGTAAATTATAGAGAATGCGATAAATCAGATAAATTTTAGATTTATATGAATTTGTCGGACATAATAAACAAAAAACAATATTTATTTTCTAATCATGAAATATGTAAATATTTTATATATCATATTAATCTAAATACATATATACACAATAAATAATATTGTCTCAAATATAATAACAAAAATTTTTAAAAATATAAAAGAAGTTTTAAAAATAGATGATATGATAATTCTAAATATACATTTAGTTGGACTTAGATTTGTAAAACATGTATTAAAGGGTTTATGCTATAAAATTAATAAAAATATGTGGAATTAATTGAAACGTTTTCATTGATTAATTTAAATGACATTTTCATTAAAATTTTTATTGAGTGACATTTAGAATTTTTATCTTAATGTCTTCTCAATTAATATATAGAGAATTAGATTTTTTTTTTTTGATATACAAGAACTGTATGTTTGAAACATGCGAATTACGTTTTGCAGACAAGAAGTACATCAAATGTTTTAACGAACAAAATATATTTGAGGAAAATCAGAGATTTTGTCGAGCAGGAAAAATACAACCAAAAACAAATGAAATAAAATACATTTAGCAGAAAAATAAATCACGAAATCGACAAAAATGAAGGGCCAGTATTTTCTCGATCCAAATTTCACTTCTGTACTATTATATATATTTATATTTGACTTATTTGTCTCGATGTGATCTTAAGAATATTGAACTTTAGAACTATCCGCGGACATTTCATCCAACCATCTTTAATTTATTGACCAAATTACTCAAATTATCTAGAAAACAAACAAAACTCCAAATTATTACTATTTATGTATTGAAGTCTTTAAACCACCAACCTCATAAATGAGATTTTCAAAACATTTCCTGTTTCTTTCATATTTGACCATGATGATGTAAGAACAACTTGCTAATCATACTCGATTTTGATTTTCAACAAAATCACGGACTATTTCATTTGATTGGTGTAAACTCACTAGCTCACGTATATAATTTAATATTAGTAAGTGATATCAGTGGCAAATATACAATATGACATAAAATAATAAAGTGTCTAAAAGCGATAGGTTTACAATCAAAGACTTTGTTTGGCAGTTTCGAATAGCAAAACGATTACATAAATCTGCAGTTTTAAAAACATAACAGATAGATTAACTGTGTTGTTTTAGAATTAAGATTTAATTTTGAACGGTTTTAATTATGATTCAATAAATTCAACTCCACCTATATTTGTTATTAATTTATATGATGTTGCTAGTTAAAATAAAAAACTGTAATTATTTTTTTCCGTGTTAATATACGATAATTAGTCTAACTTTTATATTAAATTTTTAAAATGCGTATTTTTCTAATATAATAGTATATACTTAAAACTCCAAAGTTTGAATGATCAACCTTAAAAAAATGAGTTCCAACCCATAAATAATTGAGAATTTTCAAAAATATTATTTTTAAAATGTCACTTTTAAAATGATACATTTTTAAAAATAAAATAAAAATGCCACTAATATTAG